GTAGTAGCGGTAACAGCTCTCAAACTCCTGCGGGCTGTAGTTCGAGACGCGGATAGGGACGAAAGGGTCCAAAGCGTCGAAACCTTCCTGGAAAGGAAAGGGGAGGCTGTTGGGCAGAGAGGCCCCCGCGGTGGGCAGCAGCGCGGCCTGCTCGCTTCCCCCTTTCCCCCCTCCCCGGCTTTTGGCGTTGTACGGGAAAAGGCAGAGCGGAATTTCCCTCGAAGGAGAGCAAAAACGTCTGTGCCAGCCCGGATTCGCTCACGTGCGACAGCGAATCCCTGCCGCCGCCGCAGAAGGGGCGAAACCTGGGTGAGAAACCTGGGGGCTATCGGGGGCCAAGAAAAGGGAGCGATGGGAAAACCAGAAACCGTCTGCCGGGAGCGCAGCTCACAAACCCGGATTTTTCAGTCCTGTTCCCCAGCGCGGGGGAAGGACGTGACTCACCTTCCCTAGTAACTCATGGGGCAAATAGGCAGAACTCGGTTTGAACAGAGAGCCTGTTTGGCTAAGTGTCGTCACAATAGCGCCGCCGTTCTAAAACAAATGGATTAGAAAACGTTTTAGCTGCGAACGTGGTATTTGTGGAACTGTCAAGGATTCCGAACGTGAGGCTCGAGCTGAGAGTTACTTCTGTTCCCGTTTCCCCAGGCAGTTTCTGGAATGATGTAAACAAAAAGCACTGCTTTTAGCATTCCCTGCCCTGAGTCGTGACAAAGGAAAAGAGCAGCGCTGCCCGTTAGTAACAGCTTTCTCCTCCAGGAGACAGCACTCTCAAATCCCATATAAGGGACTATTAATATAATGCTTGCAAGTATGTCAGTCCTGAGTACTCCAAGTATAAATTCGGCACAGGAAAAACAGCTGGTGTTTCCAATGCTGGCATTAAATGTGTCATTGTTACCTATAAAGGGCTTTCAGTTGAAAAATGACTTTTCTATATACTTTTAATCTGAAGGCTATACCTGCAAGAGATACTTGCACATGAAGGACTGAAAAACATGCCGAAGGCATTAACCTCCTGTGGTAAAGAGTTCAACAGTGTATAGGAACTACAACTTCTCATTAGTTTAAAAAACTCAACTGATGAAACAAAATGCTGCTAAGGACTATTAAATGCAAGGGCATTGCCTCTAGCTCAGGAAGTCCAAGTCATAAAGTGGAGTTTGGGAGAATATTCAAGAAAAGCATCATTATATATTCAGCCTGGCCTTTTACTCTTCCACGTGCATCTGCTGTCAGCTGATGTCAGAAACCTAGACGAGATCCCAGCCCCAGAACAGCTGCACTATCTTCATACTCTTCTTAGTTGAAGACAACAGTGTAGCATTAGACTTGCAGCTTTCTGCTTTCTCTCCTTGTAAATGAGAAATACCCCTCAGGTGTGTGACTATCCAATGGCACACTTAGTAGGACTGCACTGCTTTGATATCAGTATTTAGCTCTAAATGCTGAAAATGAGTCACCTGAAGGTACAGACTGGAACTTACCCAATCATTCATCACCATCTTCCTCAGATTGTACACGAGTGTCAGTTCTTCCGGAGAAACCTGACAAAAATGGTTTGGTATGACTTTTTTGCCATCAGTTTCCACCTGAGATATATATGACCCTCTTCCCCCACCTTAAGTTACCTAGAAAATATCGTTTGTGTGCATCGTTTTTCTTTGCTTTTGCTTAACACGTTTAGCCACAATAATGTTACAGAGTGAAATACTTAAATATTTCCTAGTGTAACAAGTTGTGCATCTGCTTTTTCCCGTTGAGAGAATTTTCTTCAGTAAAAATTGTATAAAGCACAACATGAAGTTCGCAGGAATCTCTCTGAGTCTTTCAAGGGCCACTATGGAACTTAAACAGAACAAACGCTCCCCCTTCCATTAGGTATGCAGAAATATCATCAGAGCAGATCATTTCTTACAGGGCTTTTGTCTTCTTTCCTTAATGTAGTCTTTCCCCAGAGTGCGTTGACTCCATCCACTGCCACCAGAAGTCTAAATGAACCAAGATGACATTGCTGCTTTATCTCTTTCAGCACCACCCCTACAGCATCGCTGGCGTTTCTCACTCGAGCTAAACCCTTTAAGTAGAAGAAGACATATAACGCAGTTGTGTTGTTGTTGTTGTTGATAGGCTACTACAGGAAATTAGGAGACTGTCTGCCCTTTGCAGGGGGAATGAAGATATGACTGTCAAGAGTCCATCCTTTCCTCTCAAAGGGGCAACCTCATCTAATGTACTGAGCATCGAGAGGGAGGAGCTTTCAAGTTCTGATTTTTGCTTCTACCTACGTTCTCTGTGCAACTCCCTTTACAGATAACGCGGTCATTTTCCATCCGGTAGCTTTTTGTAGCTACCTTGTTGATAGGGAAATGCCTTCCATTTTCTAGGACTATATCCGTAAGAACTTTAGAAGCGATACCGTTCTTCACTTGCAATGACGGAATCATCTGATAAAGAGGTGAGACAAAGCCAGAAGCACTTGTTACTCCTTACCTGCTCCACCACTTCACCCAGTGGTCTGCCCTCCTCAGTACTTTCCCGTTTGCCCCACACATATTTTTGTTGTGTTTTTATCTGCGGTAAGAGAAGGTAAGAAAGAGAACTATGATCAAATCAGGAACTAATTAGTGCTTGGCAAGCTTGGATGGCAAGATTCCCTGTTCTTTTCCAGTGGAAAAGACTAGTGCCGAATCTTGGCACGGTATTCCTCACCAATAGGCACCCCCCACTGGAGGTATTTAAACTATTTCTTCTTCTACAAAAACTGCATTCCAGTAGAGTGTAGCGTTTCTGTGCAGTATGAGCGCATGCCTTAATACAACATGAAACGTTTCTTAAAAATGAGCGAATCTAGAATTCATATACAGATGCTTGGCAACAGGAAGTGCATGCAGTTCCTGAAAAATCATCTTACGGGTTCTTCCTAGCTACTAACCCAGACAGCTTGACAGGCTTTACGAACCTCTTTTAAGAAGCGCTCGTTTGCAGTTTTGAAGTTCCTGAGCCAGAAAGACGCTTGCAAAGGCTGATCGAGCCGTTCTTTGTTATAGGATGACTGCATAAGCTCCCTGCAGTTTTTCACCCAAAGATGAGCTGTAAGTAAAAGAAAACAGTTGGCTTTGTTCAGTAAAAGTAATTTTATGAGTTGGATGGCAGGGGGAAGAGGTCTTTTCAGGTGTCTGCTTATTTTGCTATGTTTGTAAGAAAAGTCTGCCATCCTTAATGGACAAGACCTCCCCCTTGAGAACACAATTGCAAAACAAACGCTCACACAGGAGGTCACACAGACTCACGCATAGCAAGTTTCCTGTTAATCTTCTAGTTAATTGCAGAACAAAAGACTGACCACTAGTGTGCGAGTGCAGGAGAAAATATAATCATAGTTATGTTCCACTTTATTTGGGAGTTTTGCGCTTCATAAGCGTTCTCCGTTATGGAAAAAACAAAGACAATTTGCTGTGGTCTACCCTACACCTTCCTCTTGAAGCAGCATCTTCTGGGGTAGTTACAGGCATGTGTATTTGATGTAGTTACACAGATAGCATCAGTGCTCTTACCATCTGGGACGTGCAGTACCAGCCAGCCTTGCCTTGCACAGTAGTGAACCACATGACACAGAGTCATAGTTTTCCCTGTTCCTTTCTCACCATCTTCAACACAGACTGTCAAGGAAAGTCTCCAAAAAAACACTGCAGACAGCAGCACTAGCTGACTGCCATCCTTTCACAAGGAGCATAAAGGAAATACAAAGGTGGTAACAACACGAATGGCGTTCCATCATGGGTTTTTTTTGGCAGCAGCCTGAGGAGAGCCTTCTGCTGCATTCCACTACATCAGAGCTGTTAATCCCCATTCCCTCAGTTGTGCTGATGCCACTGTTTGTGGAACTGTGCCATAACCCAGATCGCAGATCTGGCTTAAAATAAAAGCATACAGCTTCTGATACGAGCTTGGCTGCCGAGAGACGCACCTGGTAGAACTGCCCCCGGAAGACTAAGCCACAGTGCTCAGCATAGGTTCAGCATCACCCTCATCTTTGTAAGCTCAGTTGCTTGTATTCAACTTGCACTCTACAGTCAAGTAAGTGATAAAAGATACAGATAACATATCTGATTGCTGGGTGGGCAAAGCTGGAGCTTTTCAGGTAAGTGAAGAGTTCCAGAGCTGGTTTTCGCACCATCAGGCAGGCTTCATTGAAGGTCTTAATCTGAGAAAAGGAACAAAATATGAACAAGAAGCCATAGGCCAGCACGCAACAGCTGTTCCTAGCATGATTTTGTCTCTGACTGGTACTATGAATGGCCTTTTCTGGATGGCTCCAGCAGAGGGAAGTTCTGCTTTGTGCCTCAGTCCACCTAGGTTTCCCATCGTAAATTTTTCCCTTCTGCTCTATTCTATTAAGAAACACTTTCCAAGCAAGTAACCTACTGTTATTTCTAAAAACAAAAAAAAAAAACACCTGCCCCATTTAAAGTTCACTATCAAATTAATAGAGCAGTGCTAGAGTAGTTTGTACTCCAGTCTCATATGATCTGCCAGATTGGAATAGAACAAATTTGTAAACAGGTAATTTTGCTAGAAATACAACAAGCTACACTAAGGTTCTTTTCTAATTTCAAGCTGAAAAATAATCAACTACATTCAAAAATGTTGCTCAGCTATTGAGAAAAACAGTTTGCAAATTAATTTTACTGTGGGTTTTCTATAAAATAGAGGCTGGATATAAATTCAGTAGCTCAAGGAAAACCAAATGAGCTTCAATCAATATTTCATGTAGCTCATTGTTTTCTTAAGGAAAAAAAAAACTCACCGTGAAAGACTATATAGTATGTTGGACAAAGGATATTAGCAGAACAAATATCCCATTCCTTTTGTAATATTAAAAATGTTCTGAACATTTTAAATTTGCAAATGACTAGGCTGTAATAGTAGGTGTGCTCTTCACACTGTGTTGTCGTAAGTCCAGCATCAGATACCTTCTAAAATTAAGAGGTTCCAACTAAGGCCTGAGTCAGGAAAATGCTGGGTGCAGCAAGGCTAACGAGTGGGAGTTTAAAAGTACAGAAGAACCAATGAATAGATTATGATGTTTCAGTGAAGTGCTTTATTAGATAACATCCATGAAACAAGAGCCAACCACCTAGAATTTATAATTCACAGATAAGAAATCTATTCCTAAACTGAAGCAGGCCGTCTGTTAACTGCTTACGAAGCCTGAGCCAATCAAAGTGTGATTTGTCTCACAACGGAAACCAAGAAGCAAGATTGCTTCTATTGCTTTATTTACTGAGCCGTTCCATTTCATACAGAAATGTAACCATGGAAAATATTTGCTAATTCATTACGTGCTCAGAAGTTAAAGATGCAAATTATCTGATGGCATGTTGCCTAAGGAGGAATCCTCTCCTCCTCCTGCCACTATTTTGGTCAGATTGACCCATGACATTACGATGTAGTACATATCGCTAAGGACCGGGAATAATCACATTCCTGTAGCCTTTCAAATGAAGAATCAGCGTGTGGCTCGCTCTGTTTCCAACAGGAAAGCATCATAGTTCCCTGATGGATCCGGTTCTTCCCTCATCCCAGTCCAGCCCCTACAGATCTGCTTGGACACAAAGTACCTGCTGCTGGAAAGGACTAGGAAGTCCATGTGGAAACACAGCTTTCACCTCCTGAAGCGGAATGCTATAGTGGCGACCCTCATGGTGTTCTGCGTGGTTGGCCTGGGAAGGTAAAACGCAAATTCTGTCAGATATCGTTTCTCTGAAAACAGGAGGTCTGTGAGAATGGGACAGGGAGGGAACACCCACTCAGAGTGAGTATCTACTTCCTGGGAGTCAGATGAACTAACATATTACATGAAAACGGAAATTGATATTCTCGGAGGCTGTTACCAGACGTTTAGGAAGAGTCTAAAGAAAAGTATCTCCTACCTGACAACGAACAATAAAGGAATTGCCACGAACCACTGTGTTTTATGGGCATCGGTGGCCCTATCCTTCATGAATTGCTCTAATCCTTTTCTAGCCCACTTACACTTTTGGTCTCCACAATGCTGTTTAGTAATCTGATCCCCACCTAAGTTATCTGCTGGATTAAAACGTGCTTTCTTTGTTTTAAGTCTGCTACGTGCTATTTTCATTGGCTATCTCATACTTGAATAAGGAATGTTTGAGAGACCTGGTGATTACATCCTCTTAACACCACTAGTAATACATGTGTCATTTCTCCCACGCGCAGTGAGCAACGTCTATTTAGCCTGTCCTTATAGATAGTTTACATAAACTACTTTATGCCTATCATGCTGCTTTATACCTTTACATGTTTGTCCGTGTACTTCTAGGAATAGGATGACCAGAATCATTTGCAGTTTTTCAGAAAGTATTTATTAATATATATGGTGGCAAAATTGTTGTCTGGTTTGCCCTCTGCTGTTCTCCCAGTAATCCTTAACATGCCGTTTGCCTTTTTAGCGAATATTGGTTGCTTGAGAACTCGTGATCTGTTTTCTGGGGCATAAGTTACTGTGACGCAAGTAGTCAGTGTTACTTCTCTCGCTGACATGCATTATTCTGCATGTATTGCTAGTGACTACTCTAGGTTCTCTGACTACTTGAGCCAAGAAGCAGTCATTGTTGGTATCTGCAAATTTAATATTTGTTTCATGCCTTGTTATATTTCCCCAACGGGGGACAATCGAATTTTGCCTCCTCCTCCCCCACCATTATTCAGTTTTCCTACCATGTAGTAGTTGCAAAGCACTTATATAGCCTTGGTCTAATCCTCAGTTTGCGTGCCTTGTTGTAGTTAGAACAACGTTCATAAAGACTAGTCTTCACTACTTCCTGTGTGACATTTAGCAGTTTTTGTGCCATCAGTTTTTCCCTTGGAATACAAAAGCTTTTAAGTCGCTATGCTTCTAGAGAATGTAACATCCCATATCATGTGCTGTTTTGCACTGTTGGCTTTTCCGACAGGTTTTAAGTCAAACTCCTGTATATTCTTGTGCATGCCAATCTCTTCCTTCCATTTTGGTTTAGATGACATTAGAATATAACCACATAGTCACGTCCTTGTTTTCTTTGTTTTGCATAATAGCGATCCCTGAAATAGTTTCATTTACAATTAAGAAAAAAAAAAAAAGAAGCAGTGATTACTTCTGCCAGCTCTAGCAGATTTCAGGGCTGTTCCAGACTTAACCTGCACTCCTTATTAGCTTCGATCTAGACCCAGAGCATAATTTACCGAAGCCAAGAACAGATGAGACAATACTGATGAGGGGTTGGTCACTGCAGCCCCATGAATCCTCCAGCCCCAGGATTCTTGCTGTATGTTACCTTCCCTCCCTTTCTTCAGGCCAGATTTTCAGTCTTCCAGCATGATCTGGCAACGTGTCTGTTCTTTTCTCTTCTCTGACATGTCTGTTCTGAAAACAGCAGGCACCCATGGCAGCTACACCCCTATGCCATACCTCACTAAGGAAAGGCATTCACAGGTCAGTGCCTCCATAGCTTACCTTGGTACAGCTGCAAGATTCCAGCTACACACAGGTTTGCCAAATTACTTATAGGAAGAAACCATCTGGTAACCTCAGCAAACTGCTCTATAAGCTACTTGAGTTCACAGAATCACAGAATCGTTTAGGTTGGAAGGGACCTCTGGAGATCATCTAGTCCAATCTGTTATCATCATCTAGTTACCAATCTGTTATTTACTAGTGAGTAAATCTTAGCATCAGGAAAATTTAAAACTACTGATTAGATAAGTTAGTAGCTTCTCTGCTGTAAGGAGTTACTATTTGAAAATAGGCTTCAGAAGAGAACTATTAAAGAAATCTAAAGTCCTGTTCCAACTACAGCTATGTGTAAACTCTGGGCTGGATTCCCTGGAGCTTTCCTGCACAGGTTTGACACAGACCAACAGCAGCTGTGCTTTGCACAGCATTGTTATCCATGGACTGGAACAGAAAAGCAGTACTCCAGAGACCGTTTTTGTTCTCAGTTTCACCACTGACCTACTGCATAACCTTGGGCAAATCCCTTCACTTTTCAGCTCCTACATCTGTAAAGTGGGTCACTTTAAGTCATTCTGAGTTTTGCTAACGGAGAGGTGTATAAAAGCCAAGTCTTATTAAAAATTTAGTTTTCATATGGCCTTCTTAATCCATTTTTAATGGGGCTTTCCTGTGCACAAGTACTAGTGCAGTCGGAAGAAAGCTATCGGGTTGGCTGATGAAGTGAGCCAGCGGAGACTCTCTGCTGTGATCCGCAATACAGCAAGTCCAAGGAACACTGATCTGATAAATTAATAAGCGATGGCAGTTGTCGCCAAACATATCAGGCACGTGAAGTCAGAATGCCAAAGCCAGTTGCCTGGCAACATAAACTGTAGACACAGGACAGTGGAGACAATTCTTGCCATCTGGACTCTTCTGTGCAATCTATAGAGACACTCCGATCACGTGAGTAAGATCATCTGCATGCTGCTGTTTCCATAGATACCCCAGAGGAATCAGTACTGAAAGACTCCAATTACAGAGGCAGCAGAAAAGCACCTCAAAGGCTTATTCCTTTCATTTATTCCACTTCATTTTGTGCTCGAGACAGAGTGTAAGGCTGGAATTATGATGCTGGAGAGCTGTGCTGCACTGAGGTCATGTGGGGAGTGTTTTTTTATCCCCCTTAATAGCCAGTTTAGGGAGGTTAGTCAGGGAAGAATAACTCTAGAGTTGAAATTAATAGCGTCTGATGACAAGCTAAGCCACATATGAGCTTCTCCTATGCAGTCTATTTCATCTATGCAACTACAGAGAAAGAATCAATACTTGTTCTCAGGAGCTTGCAGGCAGAGGACTAATCCTGTCTGGTTTAGACTCAGGCAGGTGCGCTGCATAGCCGTGGCCTATTTTCCTTTTGGCTGGGGATCATGATCTAGATACCTATTATTAGCTCTATGTACTCCCTTCCCTTCTGTTTACTAGATACACACAATCCCAGTAAGCACTTTTGGCTCCAGCATGTCCGCACACAGGCGGATGGAATTGAGGCATTTGCTATTTGACAATAACAAACATGGCAGAAACTCACCGGGTCATTTTCACTGGTACGGAAAATTGCTCTTGATTTTTCTGCCAGGATTTGGACATCCTGGCTGACAACAGAACTTAACCAGTCCTTGGCAGTAGTGTGGAGAGCACGTCTGTGGCCCAACTAAAGGGGGGGGGGGGGGGGGAGA